CACCATCGTAATAAGATTTCTTTTTTTTTTTCAAATGTGTCTTTTAATTATTTCAAATATAAGTTATTTAACACCCTTAAAAACTCTATTTTATAAACTCAATAAATACAACGTACATTGAGTTCGTACATGCAACGTATATAGAGTTCATACATGCATGATGTTGCCTGATATATTACACTTAAAAATTTTTTTTTTTAATCTTTTTAAAGTAAAAATAATAGAAAACTTATCAATTACGTATAATACTTTTTCTATTCGAAAAAAGACGTTGTTTCCCATAAATTTTGTATTATTTATTTAACAGGCAAAACAAAAAAAGAACAATGTGCAATAAATTCATTTATAAAATAGTTTGCAACGCATGCGACATTTTTTAAAAAAAAACACTTTTTACAGAACATACACAATACAAAAGGCCTAAGATAATGTTGGGTCATTAGACTCCTCCCCGAATTTAATTTTTTCATAGTTTTCATAATATTTTCCTGGGGTATGTAGCTAAAAAAGAAACAAAAAAATGCTATTTAATTCCATAAGCTAAAGGACTCCTCAGTGGCAATCCGCCATCAAATTAATGAAAAATCTTGAAATTACGTCAAAACAAACAGTATTTGATGCCGTGTGTCAGCTTGAAAACGCAAAGTATGTTTTCTATTTAATCGAATTTTTGAATAGATAAGCAACGAGTATTATAAGAAAAGAAGCAGCAGCGCGATAATGTATACCTTATTTTAGTTTGTTAAAAACCATTTAGAGATAAGTAAAGAAAAAAAAATACATGGAGCGGTAAACAAAGTAATGCAAATAGTCTAATTTGTGCGTGCATGTATACATGCAATATTAAGTATGTTAATAAATCACAGAGTGCAAAAACAAAACAAAAAAAAAAGAAAAAAAAAGACGTGGTATCCATCTGTGGTAGGAGCTTATTTTTCACATTTAAAATTACATTCTTATGTACTATCTAAACCTTTGCGTGCATGTATTCATTTCCGAGTTTAAATTTTCAAAAAAAAGATAGTTTTAAATACAGATTACGTAATGATTATTTATATTGTTAACCTTTTTTCCATACTAATTTTGAAATCTTTTTTTTTTTCCCGGACTTTACTAATACAAAAGTTATTTATAAAAAATTTTTTTCAAGAATATAACTACAAATCTCTTGAACAAAAGCAAAAAAGATAAATGCGTTTTCTTGATTATCCTTATTTCTTCCTAGAGTTCAAAATTTTAGGTGTTTTTATGAAAATTTTTTATCCTTACTTGTTACAATTTTATTTATAAAATATAATATTTTATTTATAAAAGTACAATTTTATTTATAAAGTATAGAAATCGCTAATATGAGGAAAAATTACTAGTATTAATAGTTGTATTTCTAGGGTATTTATTAAAACTTTATAGATACCTAAATATAAAATTGTACAAACTTTATAGACGCAACTTTATAGACAAAGGAGAGGGTTTTGGAGACAAAGGAGAGGGTTTTGGAGACAAAGGGTTTTGTTCTTATTTATAAAACTTTGTCAAGTTAAAACTTGGCTCTAGCAAAAAACCAATAAGATTTTTTTTGCTTAAAAAGGTATTAAATACTATGTGTAGAAAAATCAAATAAATGAAAAATTGAATTATTCAAAACTGAAATTTTAAAAAATTGAAGATCTTTCAATGTGTAAATTTTAAATCATACGCTCCACTTTATTTTTCTTTTGCTTTTTTTTCGGAAATCTCATTCTCTTTTTATTGTATGATAGAGCCAATGCTACATCATTTTATCTGCCATTATGGAACTTATATATATTATGCAACAATTCCATAACTCTTCATCACAAATTATGATTCTACGTCGCAACTTTATAATGATTAGATATTTCAAAAAAAAATTCAATTCTAAACATGACCAGTTCTATCATATTATACTGTCATTCATACCTACAGTTAACACAATTTCATTCATACCTACAAGTATGTACCGACATACCAATACTTTATTCAAAACGAGTATGTATACTTTACTCAAAACCTACGTATATCTAGAAAAATCAGTATTTTAAGCAACATGCTTTTGATGTCAAACGATCAACTTTAAAATAATAACTCAAAAGAAAACAATATAAAAGTGAAATCAAAAGCATTTGGAACTGAAACAGAATAAAACTATTCTATCAGAGAGTCAATCCTTAAATAAAATTAGAAAAATATGAAATAAAATTATAACATATTAATTTTATGAAAGCAAATCTAATATTTTTAGGAAATTAGATTTCATTTATTATTTTTTCTTTATAAACGAATTTCTAACCCTACATTATTTATGGAAATCATAAATAATTTAAAAATAAACATTTATACGTCTATAGCACAAGACATGTTGTAGACGTACAAAAAGTCGAAAGATGCATAACTTTCTTATTTGGAGTCTTCTAGAAGTAAAACAAAAAAATTTTCAGATAATTTTAATTTGTTTAACTAATTAGATTGTTAAAATCAGCTAAAATGTTTAATATGTAAAACTTAAGAGTATCCGTTTTTATTCGATGCCATACAATAGTAATGCTGATAACATTTTGAGGTCTAATAACAAACTAAGAAAATAAGAAAAAAAAAGATAAAAAAAAATTAAAATAGTTTTAGGTTTATTCCACATCGTTCATTGTTACTTCCTTTTTAAAATACTGTGATTATTGATTCAAATCTTTTAAATTCTTTTAAAAATTGGTTCAAACCGTTTTTGCTACGGTGATAATTGATACAAATCTTTTTGTATATATATATATATATATATATATATATATATATATATATATATATATATATATATATATATATATATATATATATATATATATCATATATATATATATATATATATATATATATATATATATATAAATATATATATATATATATATATATATATATATATATATATATATATATATATATATATATATATATATATATATATATATATATAGATGTATATATATATTTTGTATATATATATGTATATATATATATATATATATATACATATATATATATATATATATATATATATATATATATATATATATATATATATATATATACGTATACATATATATATATATATATGTATACATATACATATATGTATACATATATGTATATATATATATATATAGATATATATATATATATATATATATATATATATATATATATATATATATATATATATATATATATATATATATACATATATATATATATATATATATAAATATATATATATATATATATATATATATATATATATATATATATATATATATATATATATATATATATATATATATATATATATATATGTATATATATATTTTGTATATATATATGTATATATATATATATATATATATATATATATATATATATACATATATATATATATATATATATATATATATATATATATATATATATATATATATATATATATATATATGTATATATATATATATATATATATATATACATATATATATATGTATACATATATATATATGTATATATATACATATATGTATACATATATGTATAGATATATATATATATAGATATATATATATATATATATATATATATATATATATATATATATATATATATATATATATATATATATATGTATATATATATATATATATATATATATATATATATATATATATATATTATGTATATATATATATATATATATATATATACATATATATATATATATATATATATATATATATATATATATATATATATATATATATATATATATATATATATATATATATATATATATATATATATATATATATATATATATATATATATATATATATATATATGTACGTATATATATGTATGTATATATATATTTAAAATAATAAATAAAACAAAAAAAATAAAAAAAAACAGATTTTTTTAAATGATTTTTTAATTTCTTTAGAATTATAATAGTTTTAAGACTTTTTTTATTCTTTTATTGTATTTTAATTACTGGAATCACAAACAGATATCCTTAAAAAAAGTCATGTAAGGATTAAATGATATTGGCATTTTAAATGAATTAAAACAAATTTATCAATTTTTTGGACATTTCAAAGAAGGTGGGTTCAACATATTATAAAAATTATTGTTTATTTGTAACGCTTTTATATATTACATTGCGGTTAAGTGCTATATTTACATGTAACTTTATGATTATAGGTTACGGTGTAATTAAATATAAAACTTTTGATAAAAACCCCGTAACCATGGAGTAAAAAGTAATTATCTGAAAACAAAAAGAGATCGTATTTATATAACTACAAAAATTCTTACATGAAAATTTGTTACACGCTATAAATTTATTTAAAGTTGTGTTACATATAATTTAAATGAAATTTTAGCAAACTTTTTAAAATAAACTGCTGTTTAAATAAAACAGCATTTAAAAAATGTTACATGCAACATATTTTCTGTGGAAAACATTGGTGGATCTTCAAGGAAGTTTAACCTACACTCTATCGGTCTTTCTTTAATAAGGAGAAATTGTTTAAATGTTAATTAATTTATTACAAAAAGTAAGCAATACAATATTTTTCTTTTTTTGTCTAAGAGTATTTCTTTTGTAACTGTATTAACACTCTAGTTTTTTGTGTTGACAAGTAAAACCTGGTCAGAGTCAGAGTTAATGTAAAATATAACTTTATTGGTTATGCTTTAACGCGACAACGTTATCCTTTTTCTTAAAAAATATATTTATAATATAAAAACAATATTCGTTAATTCTGTAAAAATACCAATAATAAGATAATAATAGTATGTAATTTTAACCCCATTCACTTTTTTATCTTTTTTTATATTTTATTGTAAAGCTAGGTATTAGATTGCTTTCACGCTCATAAACTTTTATACCATTACATTGATTATTGCACAAATCACTTCTTACATACAAAAAGTTTTATAAAATATTAAAAAGCATAAAAATATTTTTATATTATTAAGGATATTTATACATTGTTAAGTTAACATATATAGTTTCAAAAAACCATAGTTTTACATTCTAGGAAAGTAACTTTTTTGTATTGTTTCTGTAAATCATTTGAAATTTAATGTCGCTTTTTGAGATGTACCAGCGAAAAATACGTTGCTAAAGATAAAATATATAAACTTTTTTTTATTCGTCTCAACATTCATTTATTTATTATTTATATATTTATTTCGTCTTAAAGATAAAAAAAAAGATACATTTATTGAAAAAATGCTTCTGCTGTAGTGAACTCAAAAATTAATGATGCAATAAGAAAATCAATGGCGCTAGTCTTCAACTTATAAAATATTTAATTATAAAAATTTAATAGAATAAGAATATGAAAAGTTTTTATAAAAAAAAAAATGAAAATTTATCTGACTCCTAAAACTAATGCTTAATACAATGCAAATAATAAAATACAATTTTACTTGCAAAGATTGTTTACAGCATCATAAATGTTAATTCAATTATTATTTCCTTTTCTTTGTCAAACACTAAATTAGCAATATTACCAGATCATAAACTTAGAATTATATTTTGCAAACACAATGCGTCGTCATATGATGACGTTATGGTTGATTTAAAGTAAATGCATTTTGCTATCAAATATATTATGGAAAAAAACGTCTTCTTATTTTTTGTATTTAATTAAAGAAGTTTAAAAAGGGGTAGTTGCTTAATTTATAACTTCAATTATATTTACAAAGCGTACAATAAAAAGCTTATTTCTGGTATAAACAACTGAATACTAATATTTGGAAAGAAAAAACAATTTTTTTTTTTTTTCATATTTATTTTACTATTGTTATCATTATTTTCGTAGAGATTTCCTTTCTTTAATAAATATTTATGAGATAGCTCTATTTTTGTTTTCAACTGTAATTTTATCGAAGAATTTTTTGAGGGACGATTCATTTCAAATAACTAATTAAACGATTAAATACTTGTGTCTTACAGGAAAAAATAATCCATCTAAAAGGATAGTTCAAACCATTTTAAAGGATAGTTCAAATGGAAAAAAGAAAAGAAGGAATTGAGGTGTTTGAAGATGAGCTAAGAAATTCATTAACCACAGCAGGAGATTATGAAACCTGTCAACGATGTGAGCGCATGATGTCTGAGATGAGAAAATCTGCCATAAGATGGCTGTATATGGAATGGTACAAAAAATCGGTGTTGGGGCTGTCATTGCCAAATGTAAGTTTATTTTTATTTTTTTATCTTTTTTTTTTATTTTATTTATTTTTTACTTTTTTTTTTTTATTTATCTTTTTCCCTTGTCTATTTCATAATATATATCATATATATTTAATAACAACTATTATTTTTATTCGACGATTTTACCTTTCTTTTAATAATTTGTTAAAAAAGTTCCTTTAAATTATTTTTATAGTCTTTTTTTATCTTTCTATTATTAAAAATAAAAAATAACAAAATTATTAGACAAGTTACAAAAATAGTTTGTAGCAGGAGTGGGAGCAGAAAGGGGGAGAGTCTGAGCAGAAAGCTAAGAACTTCATAGGTAAAGTTTTTGAATCACAACTCATAAAGTTATCATCAACGTGAAAGGCACGGAAAACCATAAGGTATTTGTTTCTTTGATGAAACCTAGTTTCTTTGATGAAACCATCTCTTCGATGAAACCTAAAGGTTTTCTTTAGGTTTTCTCAAAAAAGTATTGTTGACTTTTTGTTAAACCCCCGTCACCAATGCTAAAACTAATAGTTTAATCTGAATGTCAACGTGCGTCAAAAACGTTACGCGCATCAAAAGCGTTACGCGCGCAATCATGTATAACATTACAAATAAAAATTATTACATGTATAGTTAACTAATTGCAACATGTATAAATTACTAATAAAATTACTGAAGGGAACGTTGTAAATTTTTTTTTAATTTTTAATTTTTATTTCTCTTTTTTTTAACTGTTTATGAATGAAACTAAATACAACGTGGAAACCTAATGTGGTTAAAATATTTTATTGCTTCAGAAATCTAGCACACCTGGTAAAAAAAAATATGCTAATATATCATCAATAGATGAATTATTCAATAAAAAAAAATTCGTCATATAATCGTTTATCTTGAAAATTGATTTTCATGTAATTCGACTAATACATACGGTCAATACAATACGGTCATATGAATTTTTTGACATTTGTTATAAGGACAATTTCTTGCAAATTAATGCGTGTAATTAAAAATTTAGAATCTTGCATGCAATATTAAACCAAATAAAGCTATACAATATAATATAATCCTTCTAAATAACTTTTGTGGCAAACGCAAGACGCAAAAGAGTTTACCGTATTAAATTTGTTACTTTAAAAAGTAAGCCCAATATAACTTGACAACTGTCTGGCAGTTTGGATTTGTATATATTTGTAAGTTAAACTGCTTTAATTGAAAATTATATTTAAAAAACAAATCCTGCGCAATGTGAACTTTCCACGTTGGTACGAGAACGTCAAAATGTTTTTAAATAACTAAAAATTGTTTGCTACCAATGCTTCTCGAATGCTTTTCAATAGGTTCTTTATCAATTTAAATATTTTTACATCTGAGACTGTATCTTTAAAGAATATCTAATGTTTGGGTAGAGCGAGACTAGTTGAGCAATTTTTTCTAAATCTAACAACTCTTATGAACGGTGCTTCAGATTTATATAAAGTTTTACTATTGGAAAGATAATTTAACTTTCTAAAATTAGTTAAGAAAAAAGAATATTTGTTTGAGAAGATATTGCCTAAAATTTATCGAGCTGCTCAACCTGCCACAACAGGGAATGTTGAGCAACTGCGTAGGGCAAGTTGAGCTTGTTGATTGCAAATAAATACACATGATATGGAACTTGAATAATTCATCGATAAGTCTAATTAATAGCAAGCGTGCCTATAATTTATTAACTTTTTATTTTATATTTATTTTATACATTAATGATGTAAGAGAAAAGAAAAAATTAAATAGTAAAAAAGTATAATAATATATAAATATATTATTTTATTCAATTATCTTGAACATTGAAGTCCATTAAATATTTAGTATTCCGAAAATTTCCTATCAAAGCTATTTTATTGTGTTTGATAGTTCAGTTTTATTTATTTTTTTCAAAGCTGCTCATCTTACCCCTACTAGACAAGGTGATAGAAAAATTAGGTCTAAAGAGAACTAAGTAAGACTTGGTAAAAACCCGGTTAATTTTAATCAAAAATCCAGTAAATTGGTAAATTATCAACAATTAAGTAATGGCAGATAAAAAAATTTAAAAGCATTTAAGAGAAAAACAACAATATTTTTTTTTTTTTTTACTTTTTACGTACAAAATAAAAAATGTTCCCGTGCATCTTACTTGACTGCCATTCTTTTGTTACGCATGTGTTACTATTCTTTTTCTAAATTTGATTCATTAGATGTTTTGTTTTGCGATGCGTATTTTTTGAGATGTTTATTTGTTCAACTTGCCCCTATGCTCAACTAGCCCCTCTCAACCCTCTTAGTAATAGCTGATTGAAGAAATTTAATCATTTTTACTTCAGGGACTATATCTTTAAAGAATATCTAATATTATTGGAAATAGCAAAAAAAAAATTGTTTTACGATAAAAATTATTGCTATATATGGTAGCACAAAAATTAGTACTATATATGGTTGTGCGATTAAGTTAATTTTATTGCAATATAGTCGTTGTTTTATTTTTAATGCATATTAATCAGACTACGATAAAAAATTTTCTTTCATAAGCTTAGTATTGTTGCTTACATTTTGCAAGTAAAAAAAAAAAAAACTGCAGCAAATCAAAGAACAAGGAGACTCCAATAAATAAAATGATCCTATTAAAATCAAAAATCGCGAAGCAATCAGAATTTTAATCTGATTTGTAATTAATATTTTTTTCCAACTCGAGAGCATCAAATAAAAAAAATCAGTTGATCTTGACGTTCTTTGGTGCTTATAGATGTATTACAATAATTCAGCGGGTATGTTGTTATACATTGTATTTTTGATGTCTTAAATATGATTTTCGGTTAAGTTTTTGAGAATTTTTGATTTATAGAAAAAATTCATTTTGCCACGTTAATTTAGAATTACTTTAAAAGTTTTTTAAAAATAAATTTTTTACAAAAGAAGCATTATTAAAATATTTTTTTTACAAATTTCAAAATTCTTTTTTTTACATAACTAGGTAATTTATTCTAATTTCAAGTTAAAAGTGCTTATTTACCCAAAAATTTTAAAAATTTATGCATATATAATCAATTTATGCATTAGTTTACAAGTTATAGGGAGATCAGCAAATTCACCATTTTTTAATTATCAAACTAAAAGAAAAAAATGCAGACGTCGAGTTGTAAAATATGCTTTGGTGTAAGAAAAAATCTCCCGTATTATTATAAAAATTACAAACCTATGATTAATTGTTGCAAATGCCTAAAAAAACATTAGCCGTCATTTAACCATATTTTTTCAAAAAACATAAAAGACTCCAGTAGACATTATGATCCAATCAACTTCAAAAGGAGCGATGTACATTGTATTTAATCTTCTTTAAGGTTTAGACATTTTTTCAGTTAAAAGACCACAAAAAAAGGTCATTTGATTTTAACATTTTTTCGAACTAATAGATGTATAACACAATTTAAGTAAAATACGTAGTCGTTCCATGAATATTTTCATGCTTTAACTCTAATGTTTCGGTAAGTTCTTAGGGATTCTCTGAATTAATATCATGATGCAACAAATACTAAGTTACTTAAAATAAAGTTACTATAATACCAAATACAAGATTATAATATACAGAAAGAGAATAATACATTACCTTTCTTAGTAAGCTTTTTAGTTTTTAGTTTTTTTTTATTAATATACTTCAAAGTACAACTCGTAAATATAGACGTTAAACTTCTTTATTGATGTATGAACCTCTCTTTTTTAACCTACTAATATGGAGGAAATGTGTAGCCTTTCAATTGATTTGGGTGGACAATACCCTAGCAAGCAATTCCTTTATTCCAAAGTAGCCAATATACCGAGAGCAAACAATTACTTAGAAGTCCCGCTTTTTTGGCTTCTTTGAATTATAATGTTTTAAGGAAAAATAAATGGAAAATTATTATTAATGCCATATTTCTCAAACTTATGTAAATGCCTTCTATGAGAAAGATTTTCTAACTCTTTAACAAAATCGAAAAAGAGCTGATAAATGCGAAGTTTTTGTAAAATATTACTGACCAGATAATCTATAGATTCAAATAAACTAGAAACACTGGATTTTTTTGACAAAATCATTTGTTAGTTGATTGTTTGAGTTAGTGGACAGCAAAAGATATAAATCCAAGATAATCAAGCATTTGGAATATAGCATTAATCTAATGATTTTTGAAATATCATTTAGAGTGGAGTTGTCATGCCACAGCACAGGGCTTAAGGCTAAAAATGATAAGATCGCTGAACTTTTTAAGGTTAATAATCGATATAGTTTTTTTGTTTTAGATAAAAAAAAATTAAAAAAAAAAGTCTACAGCGTTGTTCATCAGTAATTTTATTCGTACTAATATGATTTAAGTAATTTTATTAGTACTAATAATACTTCTTATACAAGCTTGTACGCGTAACGCTTTTGACGAACATTGACAATCAGATTTTAAAAAAAACCTTATCAATGGTTTTTTTTTAAATCTGATGGTCACACTATCAATAAATTTTTAATCAATAAATTAGAAAAATCACATTATCAATAAATTTTTAATCAATAAATTAGACAAGCCCTATTGAATCAGCAAAAAAATCAAATCATATAGTATCACCTGAAATCCTAAAAATCCAGTTATGGGCAAATATAAACATGTGTATATTTAAATCAAGTTTCTCAATAAAGTTTCAAATGTATAAAAGATGGCTATATATAACTCCTGAAAATGATATGAATTGCAAAGTATAAATAAATAAAATTCAAATAATAAATGCTTGTGAAAAATCATTCTTTGGTCATGCCTTGCAGACCTATCGCATATAAATAATAAAAAAAAGTCAAGTGTTCGCTAATGTAATATTTTTATCATAATTTTTATGATCTCTATACCCCAGTGGGCACCCGTCGTGCGGAAGACGTCCGCTGGACGTCTCATGGATGTTTAGACGTCTGTTAGACGTCCGACAGACGTGCCCCAGACGATGAATGAGACCATACTGTTTGATTGTAAATGAACAGATTTTATTCCTATCTTGAAACGACTATTTTAAAAAATCTAACTTTTATTTTCTGCTATTTTTCTGCATATCTAATTTAAGTTTCAACTTTAGAATTTATTTTCAGAACTTTTAATTTGTTTAATTGTCAAATTTTTTATCATGTTAAGTGTTTGATTTACTGAGTTTCTCGTTCAACAACGATATCTTTTTCTCGCAACTTTAAGATGAATTTTGACTCGATAGCTATGTAACTCATGCTGACTGGTTTCTTCTGTGACCCTTAGGTTAAATTTTAGAATGCATGTATTTGTTAACCATAAAGTGTACTCAATAACAAAAACAGATTAAATCAGCAAAAATTTAAAACCATGGTTTAATACCACATTATACTTAAATATTTCAAATAAATGGATTTATTAATGGATTTGCATAACTCACATAAATAAACTTTGTACATAATATTTGCATACATTATTATGTACATTTATTATTACATTTATCGTTTATAAAATAAAAATTTACACATGAATTTAAAAATAATATTTACACAATCTACATAGTTTAAGCATTTTACACAGGAGACAAAAACAACAAAATCAATTATTCAAAGTTTAGTTCTAATCGCTTGTTGTTTTTCACTTTAGTTGGTTCTTACCCGCGGTCCATTCTTACCCACTCTTTCTTATTTTTGAGAACACAAACTTAAAATTGCACGTCAAGTAAGATTCATTTTGATAAAATATCTTAAAATTCTATTATAAAAGTGCCAATTAATGTAAAAATCAAAAGAAAAATTTGAAGTTTAAAAAAAAGTTCTACAAGATAAGAAATAAAATAAAACTGTATAACATTAATATTAATTCGAGTAAATTTTTTTACTCGAATTTATAAAATTATTATTTTAAAATTAAATTATTTTTTTACTCGAATTTATAAAAAATTATCTTTAAAATTTAAAACACGTTCGTTGTATATTAAAACATTTAGAAACATTTAGAATCACCCCTGTGGTTCCATGGTGTAATGGTCAGCACTCAAGAAAACATTTATAATATTTATTCATATTTTCCATAATATTAAAAAAAAAAAAATCTAATATTTTAGTCGAGAATAAGATAATTTAAATATACTTTACTTTAGAAAAAATGACGCACAACCTTAATAATATATTGGCTTAACATATGGTATGAAAGACTTTAATTTACGTTAGTTAAACTATGGGGTTAAATTACTGAAAACACGCTTTTTTAAATGCGAGCCCAAATGCTTTGTTTTAAAACCATATAACTGTATATAGTAGTATATAATAAATGTTGGATTATTTTTTACAAACAATAATAATACTAAAAAATATATAGATTTAAATAGATTTAACTAAGTATTGGTTATAACATATAAAGAATTTTTTTTGTTACAATTCTTTAAAGGTACTGAATATATCTTAAATATGCTTTTGAATATTTAAATATTTTTTCGTAAGCTCAAGAATGACGCCTTGTCTCAATTTGAAACATTAATATTTTGCGTGTTAAAGAAATTAAGTTAAAGGCTTATTGTAAATTTTTGAAAACACAATTAGTAGAATAAATAGATTTTGAGCTTTAAGAATTTAGTAACGCCTATTTCACAAAATCAAATTTCAAACATTTGTGTCACAAGGAGACGATTTTTACGCATTTCTTTATTTACCTACCTATATCTTATCTAATTCATCTTAAGAGCTTTCTTCCAATCAGGTTTATAATTTGGTGACAACTTTTTACATTTATTTTTTTTATTACTACTTTTGATTTACTTATTTCATACTTATGATTTCTTATTTTTTTTTATTTTTGTGCTATTTTTATTTTTAAAGCGCAACAATAATGTTCCTTTTTAAAATTTTAACAATTTAAAACCATTTGTAAACTATGTTTTTTTCTTTCATATTTTATTCACTGTATAAGAAAAAAACCGCTTTATTTTTGATAAGAAAAAATACGCTTTATTTTTATTAAGAAAGTAGCTAAAATTTACAATTAAAAACCTAAAACAAGTTGAGCATTTATAAAAATGAAAAGCTATTAGAAAATTAATTTAATTTTATTCAGAGACTTGATATTCATATTTTTTATTTTTAATTACTTTAGGTCTATTTTCTGGGATACAATTAAGAGAAATAGAAACTTTCTACTTTCCATTCTCATGTTTGATTACAAGTTTTTATGTGTTATTCTAGATAACTCAATTAACTCCATCACTGATACAAGTTCTCAATAAAAATCAATCAAGCAGCGAATGCGACTCTTGTCATACGAAATTCAGTGAACTTATTGAAAATACTTTAAAACCATTATCAGTTTTATCTGGGATGAAAGGCGAACCAACACAGGCTAATGACTTGATCCATGACAACAAGTGTAGCTCAAGTAAGAGGCCAATAGAACGAAGATCCGTATCTCCATCTGGCTCTTTTTTTGTAAGGTAGAAACTATTATTAATCTGTATTTATGTCCGAAGTTTTTTGAAACAATTTGTAACCAAATAAAAGAGGGTATAAATAGTAATAAATTATTATAAACTAAACTGTTTAAGTACAAACTGTAAAAATATACGCATCCAATCAATCGCGTCGAACCCCCTATCCTTTAGTGACGCCAAATTAAGTATGAATTAATAGATGCATTAATGGTATTTTATTAAGAAAACTTGATTACAAAAAAAAAAAAAAAAAAAAGTTGGAACATTTCAACATTTTTTTATTAATTATTTTATTAATTGTTACATTATATTTTAAGAGCTGCTCAAAAGCTAAACTTAACAAAAACGCAAGGCGTTCAAAAAGATAAAAGTCTGTCAAAAGATAAAACCGATACCTTGAATAAGACAAAAAATTTCTCAACTAATTTCAGTGGTTTATTGCAACGAAACCCACCTCAACCTCCACCAAATTTGTTTCAATACGGAACATTTCGACTAGGAGATGGCCATGGAAAAGTAAGTTTTAGTTTATATTTGTTGTTTATTTAAGTATTCATTTCTTTAAAAGGTTTTTGTTTTGGTGGTAGTAACTTAAAACAAATTGAAATCTTTGTATATTGGATCGGTTTTTAATCCCATTGAATTATTTTTATCCGCCAAATTCCATCGTAACTTGTTTATGTTTGAGTGTATGGTGATAAGCAACTCTGACATATATACGGCAAAACCACTGACTTTGCAACCACTTCTTTAAACTTTTTAGTATTAGTTCATTCTGTTTGTTTGGACAAAAGTATCTGATTGAGCCAGATTTTGTCCTATTTTTAATCAAGGCCCTCTTTATAACAGGCCTTGCAATCGCGCAACCAAACGGAGAGAGTGGAGGCTGACTAAAAAAGTTTTTAATTTTTGAACCAAGTAAATGTTTTTGATTTCTCTAGTCTTTTTGTTTAATTGTACGATTGCAAGGCCTTTGTAAAGATAGCCTTGTTTTTAAATTATCATTATTAATGATAAACTTGATTTATTAATTTACTTATCTCTTCTTCTTCCTGTTTTTTAGGTTTTACATTTTGAATTCCAATTTCACTCTTAAATAGTTGGGGCACCAATAAAGTACGTACGCACTTGAAACACTAATTTAGGACCACTTTTTCCCCCTTGGGCGCAATTGCTTGTTTTTAACGTCTTACCGCCTCTGCGTACGTACGCATTATTTTTTCCAAAATCAACTCCTCCTCAAGCATAAACTTTAAAAAAATTAAAAACAAAAAAAACTAATTTGACATGTCTATGCTGCATAACATAATATTGATTTTTTATACTCGTGAAGTTTTATGTTTGTTTGTTGTTTTTAAAAAAAAAAGAAAAATTTTGTTTTGAGAAAATCGAACGACGTATATATATTCTAGCTTTTGTACGCGTTCGTACACTTTTGGATACCCCCCTCATCTCCGTGTATCGACGCTGAGCAGATCATTATATGGTACAAGCAGCAGAGCGGATGATAAAATCATCTAAATTCTTATAAATAATCAGTCAAATAGTTTGGCAGATTACATTTACGCAAACCACTCTGAATCGAAATTTAATCTTATGAATAATTAATCGTTTAGAGACTTGAGTCTTGTGCACAAATGTTTTTTGTGATCTACCAAATACTTCGGCAGATCATACGTTAGAATTAGATGGTAAAATGAATATGCCATCAGTAGTTTTATATTAACTATTGACAACATATCTAATTTACCATCAAACTTAGATCAAACATAACTAAGACCATGCGGTTAAGGTTTTTTTGGTTCGGTTTTTTTATTCGGTTTTTAAAATAAAACCAACGGTTCGGGATTTTTTCGGTTCGGTTTAAATTTTTTTTTGATCGGTTCGATTTCGGTCAAAAACAAAACAAAGTCTTGGAGGTCATGTATTTAATAAATTCAGAACTACAGATTTTAAAAAATACCAAAGAAAATTAAAAATTAATTTTTATTTTTTAATATTTTCTTTTACATAAACAATTTTTTCAACATTTTAAACCGCCAGCGTTGTTCTTCTGGCAGCGACTACGCTACCAGCAGTAGAAAAAACCCTCTCCGAAGTTGTAGAAGTTGCTGGTATACAAAGATACTTTCGTGCATAACTTGATAAAATTGAATACTGCTTTTTTTGAAAAAACGCCACGTCCTTAAGTATGGAAAGTTTGCTGTGAAATGGCACCAAAATAAAATTAAAAAAAAACATCAAAAATCTAGCGCAAAAATCAAAACAAATGATACGCAAAAAGAAAAAAGCATATATATATATATATATATATATATATATATATATATATATATATATATATATATATATATATATATATATATATATATTATTATATAATATTTTCTATATGCAAATCCTAAGTACCAAATCTTCAAGGAAACATAGATAAACACTTGTTTTAAATTAAGGAAAAGCTATACTAGCCGTTTACACCTAGACACTTTCGAAAAACATTGCTTTTTCTATAAAAATTAACCTTGAAGTTTTGAAATGCTGAGAACTAAAAAATTATGTATGAATATTAAAAAGAGTCCACATTCCATTAGATTTCTCATCCTTTTTTAATATATATGGAAAGTTTCATATAAGTTAGATGTGTTTTGGTGCTAAAAAAATCTTACTTTCAATAACTACTTTTGAAAAAAAAATCTCAAGGTTCTAGCTTAATTATAAAAAAAGATAAAAGAGAGTAAAATTCATAAAAATTGCATTTTTTTTTGTCAAACATCAAATGTTTTTTGTTGCGCTCTGGAATCGCTAACGACGAAATATTTTGATTATTTCAGTTTTATTATTTATTTGCTTATTAAACACAATAAAAACAGTTTAGAAAACAAGGTTTTTAAAATAACAATACCATAAGGTAAATGTTATAAACAAAATTGGAAATTTAAGTAAAATAAAAAATTACATCTTTTAAGAAAAAGATTACACTATACTCACATTTAACAAGACGTTGATATCTTAGGTAGGCTCTCTTGTCAAACCCCTATTCCGACGTTGAGCGTCCTTTGCGTCCGCGAGCTTGTATTTCTAGAAAATAGGCGAAATGGGGTATATAGGGATTTGCGCTGCGGTGTGCACATACACCAACTGATTTTTAGAGAGAACATGCAGCGGAGTGTGGAAACAACGACTGAGGGTTTGGAGTAGGCAGGTTCTCTTTTAAATAAAAAAGTCGTTTTTTTACATTTTCGGACCTTGAGGACAGCGTCGGAATAACGGTTTGACAAGAGAGCCTACCGATATCTTAACTCTCAAAAAATCTTACTCCATCATGGTCCGCAACATTTGTTCTAATTTCACAGCAAGCAATTTGCGGACTATTTCATAATATTTACATTTCTCTTTGCTTTTCTGTAGTTTAATATATATTAAACTAAATAAAAATTATATATGATTTAATAATTAAATATAAAATAATTTTTATATTCGGTTATGGTTCGGTTTGAATTTTATTTTAATTATTGGTTAATTATTGAATTTTATTTTAATTATTGGTTTAATTAATGGTTCGGTTTGATTCAGTTTTTTTGTGAAGTGCAGGGTTTTTCATATTGCATTATTTCATATTTGACGGAACTTTTTACAATAGTCCTAACATTTGTTATGTTTAATTGTTTGGCAGATCAGTTAAAAGAATTTAGCTGATTTATAATTTGATTTAAATGCCGTTGATACCATATAAATGATCTGCTCAGTTAATCTGCTCTGCTCTGCTCTGCCGATTGTGTACCTAGGGTAAACTGACTATTTACTGGCCACTTTTCATTTATTATTTAAAAAAAATAAATTCACATCAAGTCATAAACAAATTCGGGTTTAAATAGGTTATTTAAAGATGAATATAATTTTGTAAAGTTTTTTTAAAAAATTAAAGTTAGCATGTGTTTAGTCATCAATTTTTTAGATGCTAGCTAAAAGACCTATTTGTGTCCATTTGAACTTAATTCTAATTGTATTAAGAAATTCACAAACTTATAGAACTATTGATCAATTTACAAAATACATATAAATGCATATACAGTTTTAGCAATGTTATTTTCCAATATTACTTGCAATTCGAGCGGTTTACAAACATTTTAGAATTTGAATGTATTCATAAAAATTTTGAAAATAACTAACATTGAGTTTACGCAGACAATATTTCAAATACTTTCAAAGTATCTGAAAGTCTGCACTGTACGATTGTTGATAACAGGTGGGTAGACGCAGATCAGATATCATTATGTTTTTTTGAGAGATATAAGAGTGTAAGAGTGGATCTAGGCAAGTATAGCATTCAGTTTTTTTCCCCCTTTTATTTGTTACATACATTTCTTTTTTCATGCAAAAGAGATGAATAATTTAAACAAGATATAAAGGTAGTCAAAATGCGGCGTTTTAAAATTTAATTCATTGTTGTAGCCAAGTTGACAATGTTAAGGAAACATTTCATTTGGAAAAATGAAATGCTTCACTGTAAAACCCATGTTTTTGACGGGTTTTATCTCACAACCCCATAAATTTTGCAGAGTATCAACTTTAATTGGACTGGGAGTTAAAATAAAGTAGCAAATCGACTGTAGCAGCTGTAGCAAAAGTATGTTTGTCGTGTTTTAAAACGACTTTAAACATAACCTTGATAATTTATTATATATTAAAGGTATTGGCATATATTAAAGGTATTGGCAGTATTAAAGGTAATCTTTTTATTAACAAAGGTATTACGTAGTAACTAAAAGTCATCAAGCGAGAACCTGTAGCGAAAACAGAATTTGTGTAGCCAAAAGGTAAGCAGAAGATAGTATGACCAATGCTATATTATATAAACTAGATGTCTAACTTCGAGTCGAAAAGTGCTTCTTGCCCTTTTTACCCTACGCTTTTTGCACTTTTTACTAATGGCGGATTGATTTTGTAAAAAATATTTTTAACGTTTCTTATCTCAAATGAAGTAAATATATTTTAAATTTAAATACTATTTATTTAAAAGTGTTAAGCGAAAATTAGAACACCTTTAAAATAATAATTTATGATTCCTTAAATTATTTTCGATTAAAAAGAGATTAAAGTTTTCAATAGAAAAGTAAAACAACAGACAATTTTGAAGCATTCTCTTGAATTAAAATACTTTTTAATAAACATAAGCTCATAAAAAAACTTTCATAAGTAGTTTATAATTATTAAAACTTGTTTTTGAATTATCTTTAATTTATTGGGAATTTTTGACATGCATTTTTAACTTTTATTTCACACTTCGGCTTCAGTTTTGCCCTTGTTACAAATGGCTGACTATTGTTACAAACAGGCTCCATTTTTTTTCTAATAAAATCCCGCAAGTTATACATCTAGTTTATAAAATATATCATTGAGTATGACTCAAAATAAGGTAAAATAAGATCATACTGTTTTGGGGAGAAATGTAAGATCTTACATTTCTCCCCAAAACAGTAAAATGTGAAAATGTAAGAAGTAAAAATGTAAGATCTTACAATTCATCTAATTACATGTTCGACCTAAATCCGTTGATGTAACAGTGCTCCCTTAAATGTTCTCGTGACATCAATATAATGTCTAATCTTTACCTAGCTTACCTAGCACAAACAGAAATTCTGTTAAATATCTACTCTCTGTTTATAAAACTTTTTTTTAGAAAGTGGATAGCAATCATTCAATTAAAACATTAATTTTTTAATTATAAAGACTAAATTAAATAGCATTGTCTTTTGGTTTGCTTATATTTCTTTATTTAGTGTATTATGAAAACGGTGAAATTTGTTTATGTTTATAAAAAAATGGTGAAAGTTGTTTATTGCTTCTATTTATCATTGAAGAAGTCAAACAATTTAAAAAAGTTTTTAAAAATGTATAGACTTAGCATCGACAAAGACAAAAAATATATATTAAATAGAATGTTTACCTAATGCAAGTTTCAAAGCATCTAGTAACACTTTATGTGCTAAACGTTTTAAAAACCATTAAATAAAGAATAATGTATTTTAAAACAAAGTTAAATTTAATTAAAGAATTGAGTATTAAACAATTTAGATTAAATTAGTCATTTTCAAACATCAACTCCTAATTTTTTTTGCAGACCAAAACATATTTTAACAACTACAAATTATTTGTTGATTTAGATATATAGATAAATTTATATCATAATTTTTTGTGTATTATTTGGCATAAATACATTTATTGGCAATAGGAATACCAAGAATTAAATGTAAATACATAGACTGAGGATAAGTGTTCAGGCAGGGGATTTATTCATGGTTAAAAGTCATAAAAGGCAAGTAAACAACCATTTCATTAAAAAGTATTCATTTCAACTGAATGGTTTTAATGTCCTGTAAATCAAGAAATGTTCTTCCGCTCTAAATGGAAGCGGGAAGAGAACAGTGCTAGGACAGGGTTCCCATTCCTCCTTAAAAACCTTAAATATCCTTAAAAAAACAATCTCCATTAAAGGCTTTAAATAACCTTTGAAAAAATTTAAAATTTAACTGCTCTCTTTAATTTCTCCTCTTTTTTTTTATCATCTAGGAAATTTTTACTAAAGTGAATGGATTATACCAATAATAAAGCAAATATTTAGTTCTTTGATAGTTTGCAAACCTTTATTTCTATTTTACATATATATATATATATATATATATATATATATATATATATATATATATATATATATATATATATATATATATATATATATATATATATATATATATATATATATACATGTCATGGAAAATCTCATGGAATTCCTAAATTGAATGTCCTGGAAACTTTTAAAATTATCTTTATTTTTTTCTACTTGTGATATTTTTAGGATGCAAAGAAAAGTACTAGCATGTCTAGTCTAAGTCAAATGCTTTGTGCATGGCAAGTACTGAATATTTTACTCTAGTAATTTATCATAAAAGTTTATGAAGAGTCATGGAAAAGTCATGGAATTTCATTTTAAAATTTAAGTGAACACCCTGTATATATATATATATATATATATATATATATATATATATATATATATATATATATATATATATATATATATATATATATATATATATATATATATATATATATATATGTTTATATATACACATATATTAAGTTATAATATTTTTTCTGTTTATATTTAAAAATTATTGACAAAAAATAAGATTCTGTTTTTAATGTAATTGTTTTTCCCTTAATTCTTTTCTCCTTTTTCTTCCTTAGAAGAAATTCCTTTCTTTCTTCTTAATTAGACTTCTTTTTCCTTAATTAGACTAAACGAAATTCTTTTCTCCTTAATTTCTTTCTCCTTTTTCTTTCAAAAAATTGTCGTTCACGACTAAATCTCCTTTATATTAGGAAAACTTCTCCTTAAATCTCCTCAAAATCCTTATCTTGAGCCTCAGTTTAAATAGTGGGAACCCTGTATAGTGGTTATAGTGATACATGATACCTCATGTATCACTATAAACCACTGTACATCCAAGGCTGGCGCGAATGGCACGTGATACTCCTCTTCCCTATCAATGATAGTTTTAATTTAAATTCATTTTGATATTAGTTCATTAAGTCAGCAAATTTAGCTCTTTCAGACCATCGAGTCGACATATGCAGAACATATATTACAGTCAGCAAACTTCGGCTTATAGTACTGTCGGCGAATGTGAAAAAAAAAGACCTTTTTTTTTCAACTGTAAAATTGTTCATGCTATTTTTGTTACAGCCAATAAAAATCCTGGATGCGCTCCTGGAGTGCTGTTCCATTGATTGATTTATGCCTGCCCTAACCCAAACCCTCAGTTAATGTAGCAGCATCCCCTTACATGTTTTACCTAAATCAGTTGATGTAGCAGGGATGTAGCAGCAGTTCTCATTATAGCAATCTAATGTCTGGTCTGCATTTTTTAAATGCTAAAAAACCTCATTTTGTGTCATGCTATCTTCTGCTTACTCTTAAGGTAAATGCTATTTACCAGGGCATAATTATATGTTAGTTTTTTTTCATAATAATAAGACCTTTAAGTCAAAGTTAAGCTTTAGATATATTATATGATATTTATGTTTTTGGATATATTTTCAGGTGAAGGTTGTTCTTCGGCTTGTAAGCTGTAAAAATCAAGAAGATGGAATTATTAGGGCAGAAGCTAAACAAGTTTTTTTGAGAGAGCCTTCTCACAATCATGCTGCAAATTTTAATTTGGCTCCAAAAATATTTTCCTTTGATCAAATATTTAGCAGCTCTTCCCCACAAAAAGATATTTGTGCAAATGTATTAACAGAATTACTTACTAATGTTGTAAATGGTAATGATGCTTGCTTGTTAACCTATGGTTATCCAAAATTGGGTGAGAATGAGTTCTTTTTTAAAGTTTATTTTCAGTTGATTGAAGCTATAATATTTATATAATCTCTCAAAAAGATAATGCGTTTAAATAAACCTACTAATGTCATTTGTTAGGACTAAACTTTATTATTCATGATGCAAAGGTAAAACAAAAATTTTATTTATCCCTTTGAAAGGGATAAACAAAGTTTTTGTTTTATATTAAGTAAATATAAAATATTTTTTGTTTTAATATTAGTTAAACTTAAAACTTTAAAATACAAAGGAAAAGTTCATTTTTATTTTTAAGTTTTATGTTGATTTTATACTGATATATATATATATATATAAAAAAAATATTTGCAGTAAAAAAAAAAGTCATTAATGCCTTAATTTGAGCAGCACCCTAATGTTGCTAAAATACGTACAACACTGTTTAGTCTAGGATAGCTCCTGATAGCATAACTCAAGTCAAAAATATGTACCTAGTTTGGGTAAATTAGTAGGGTATCTAGGTGAGCTTTTTTTTGATGAAAATTGGCAGGTAGCAAGAAAAAAGGTTTTTGCAGAAGTCTGAATATATCAAAAAAAGCCCCAGCATTCCTTTAATACATGCCTGATGCACAAACAACAAAGATATTTTAAACAACAGTAAATTTATTATAAACGAAATTTTACGAAAAGAATTCTGTGCAGAATTAAAGTTAAACTATTCTAATACACAAAAAAAATCTTTATACAAATTTCTAAAAAAATAATCTACATTTTTTACAAGAATTTCAAACAAAACTCAGCCAATATTACAATTAAATCTCAACCAAATCAAGGAGATTTTATTGAATTAGAAGTCAACTATTACAGTTATCACCATAAAGATACCAAGTAGTTGTTGTAAAAGGTCTTACTAAATCAAACAAAAAATATTTATAACAAGTACTCAACTTTTACACTTAGATTGCATGTTCTTAGTTAGATGCATGTTCTTTTACCAGAATAGACAATATGATTAATGAACTTCCAAATAATTAATGAAGTTGAAAATGAATAATAAAATTGCAAAATTCAACATATTCTCTACCTTTATAAATCTGTTATTTTAGTTCTTTTACTTTCTTGGTTATTAAATAGATCATGATAATTTAAAACCAGATACTGAATGATTTTGTCCTATTAATAATAAGGTTCAGTGCTGGAAAATAAAGTTAGGATAGTTCAGTTATACTAAATCATATTATCCTGAAAGTGATAATGTCTCCAATGCACTTACTTTAATGTTTTGTTCTTTTTGTTCTGCAACTTCAAAACCTTATAAAGTATTTTTGTTAGTGTTCTTCCTTTTTTGTTTCATCCTTGTGTTTTCCTACAACAAAAAAAGTCTTCAAGTTATTAACTCAATTGAATTATCTTTTATTTGATAACTAAAGCTTACTCTAGAGTCACCTAATCATTGTTTTGCTTACCCAGATAATAACTGTTCTTCTGCCTTTAAATGAAGTGAAAGTGTCAAATTTTCAAGTTGTTTGACTGCATGTATTGCATATTGAAATCTTGATATTGACATATCACAATGAGTATCAATTCCATAATTTTTTTAAGTTAATGCATTCCATTTTTAAAATATTTTAATAACAAATGTAAATAAAAATTTCAAGTATCTTGTTGAATTTATTTTTTTCGTTGCTATTATCTAGAGGGTTTGGAGTATGCATTAAGACAACTTTTTAAATTAGTCCATATATTTTCAGTAAAGTATAACTTTTTTTTTCGCAATTGTTCAATGGAAGCATGAAATGTTTTAGGTTCAAAACATGCTTCCCATTCCTTCTGCATTAAAAATATTGACAATTTAAAATCCTTAAGTTCAACTTTTTTTTTTTCTTGATGATGCTTTATTGTGGCCTAATTTTGGCAAACTGTTGCCATAATCGAACAGATTAGCCATGTTTTTATGAAAATTGTAAGAATCAAAAATCTATTATCACTGTCAAAATTTTACTCCTTGAAGCAACTAAATACAAAAAAGTGCTAGTACCTAATATTTATATAAAAATATATATATATATAAATATATATATAACTATATATATATAAATATATATATATATATATATATATATATATATATATAAATATATATATATATATATATATATATATATATATATATATATATATATATATATATATATATATAGTTATATATATATATATATATATATATATATATATATAAATATATATATATATAAATATATATATATAAATACATATATATATATATATATAAATCTATATATTCCCTTAGTGCTCTTAACCATCTATATATATATATATATATATATATATATATATATATATATATATATATATATATATATATATATATATATATATATATATATATATATATATATATATATATATATATATATATATATATATATATATATATATATATATATATATATATATATATATATACCGACCTTGTTTCTATGTTTTATGGTCAGACCTTTGTATTAAATTATTTTTGCTAACCTGATGCCTCATTTTTCCTAATGCTGAGGGTTATATATATATATATATATATATATATATATATATATATATATATATATATATATATATATATATATATATATATATATATATATATATATATATATATACATATATATATATATATATACATATATATATATATATATATATATATATATATATATATATATATATATATATATATATATATATATATATATATATATATATATATAAATGTATATACATAAAGTATAAGTAAAGATTTTATTATATAGGGAAAAGTAGACTTATGATAGGTCGAGATGAGTCTTCTGATAACATTGGCTTAATACCTTGTGCCATTTCATGGTTGTATCAATTAATTGAAGATAGAAAACAAAGGTATACAAAGAATATTTTAATGATAGATGTTAGCAATTTTTAATGATGTGTGACAAATTTTTAATGATTTATTGAACTGTAAACAATTATAGTTCAACAAATGTTTTTATGGACTTTAATCTGTTTATTTTAATTTAAAATTTTTTACTATTTATTAATACTAAAGAATGTTTTCTAAAATTTATTGTTTAATTAAATTTATTTTTATATTATTAACAAAGTTTTTTATTGAATTTAAATATAAAAATAAATATCGAGTTATTTTTGCTTTTGTTTATTTAAGATCATTGATATCACTTTTCATATTTAACTTCTTTTTTTATAATATTTTATAGCAAAACTTATTAAATATTATATCTTAATATTTTTTGTAAAAATGTCATAATTGATAAATCGTTTAACTTTAAAAATAATTAAAAATTTGAAAGATTAAAAATTTGAAAAACTAAGCATTTTATTTAATATGGAGCAAATTAAATGAAAGTTTGATTTTAATTCACTAACTCTTATTTGATAACTCTTGAAATATATACAGTTATCATGAAATGTTATAATTGTTCTGTTTGTTTTGTTTTTTGTGAACCTTTTGAAATATGGAATAAATAAACTTTTTTTTATAAAGCAAAGACTAAAATTGAATTTAAAGGCAACATTTTTAATCCAAATACTTTTATAATACATATTAATAGTCCATTAACAGTTCAACCTTGAGAAACGCTTTGCAAATATAGAGAAAAATCTTCAGGAGAGCTAGGTACTAAAGTACTATTGTTTATGGTTTTACACTATTTAATACAGTTGGATTTTATTTCCAATTTCGATAAAATCTTAGTCTTTGTAAATAATTTATAAAGTTTTAGTTTAATTGAACTGTGTGCAACTGATCTTATATAAACTGAAAAATATGAGATAAGTAATAAAGTTAAATCTAATTCAATATATAGTTATCATGAAATATTATAATTTGATAAAAACAAGTATAAAACCTTAAATTTGTTTAAGATATTTGTAAATTCTTAAGTACCATTATCTGATATCTGCACAATTTTTTACTGGATTATGTCAGACATTTGTTATCTTAAGTTAGCATTTTTTAAATTTTTATATGCAAATTAAACAAGAAGCAAGTTTTTCAAACAGCTACATTCTATCTGAAATTTTTTGTGTTTTTATTGTTTTTCTTTTTCTACATATTGAAATTGACTAAAGTCTAATAATTGATAAAAGTATAATTGACTAATATATTTAATAATAAACCATATGATTAACTAAAATCTTTTTTTTTGGGAAAATTCTTGTGTTAATAAATTTTTTATAATTTTTTTATAAGATTTAAATTTTATTTTATTAACTGCAGTTTTTGCAATCGAAATCTCAAATATGTATTCCGTAAATTAAATTAAAAAAGTCAACTATCGGAGAAATTGCAATCATCATTTTTTTTACTGTATTTTAACTTTTTTTTCCTGTACTTCAAGCCAACTTGATCAATTTTCACAAATTCAAATAATATCTGCAATTAAACTTTTTTGGTAAAATTGTTATGGAATTTTGGTTTCATTCAAATTAACTTATTTGAACATTTAAAGTTTCTTGAATGTAAATTCCATTTTGAAAGTTTACAAAAGTTTAAAAAAAAATAACTAAAAACTAATAACTAAAAACTAATAACTAAATAACTAATAACTAAAAACTAATAACTAAAAACTAATAACTAAAAAAAAATTTACAAAAACTAAAATTTTGAAACTTGAAAGATAAAAAAATGTATTCAAACACATTTACTTAAAACTAAATGCTGAAATAAATTTGTCAAAAAACTTTATTACAAAACCTGACTTGAAATTATTATTTTTAATGCCTAAAGCATCAGTTTATTTACTTTTGAAATTTCTTTTTTAACAACCTGTTATTAAAATTCTGCTAACAACCCAAGGTTTCAAGGTAAAATTATTAATGCTTATATAAATTCAGTAATCTTTATTTTGACAAATTGTTTAGCATGATGAACATCATTGTTAACAAAAAGACAAATCATCTTTTTCTCTGCTGTAGCTTAAGTGAAGTATCAATTACTGGCAAATAAGGCAACATTGTCAGGGTACTTAAAGAAACAAGGTGTATTGCAATAGCCAGTTAACAAAACATCTGTGGTAGTTTGCAAACTAAAAATGACCACAGAAGTTTTTTTAACTTACCACCAGTGTTTAATTATAAAAAAGAAGCACCTCAATTATTGAGGTTAGTTACTTTATTTACCCTTATCCATAATCTTTTGATAGAAAATTTTGGCAGCATTTCCTGGGAATTTAATTCATTGGGTTTTTGTAAAGTTAAAAAATCTTCTATGAGAACAATAGTTTTATCTAAATATGTAATCGACAACACTGTAATTAAGAATAAGAGAAATAATGTTTGAATACTTGTTTTAATTAAAATTATAATTGTTACTTGTTACTTAAATTTTTAGAACAGGTGCCAGATTTTCTATTTGCGTGTCTGCTGTTGAAGTTGTTGGAAAATCAGAAAATATCAATGATCTACTTTTTAAAGAAAGTAAGAAAAACTTTTTCAAGTTTCATACATATTATGGAATTGATATTTACTTAATGTTAACTTAATACCAGACTCTCTGGGAAATTAGTGAAGCTAATTGATATAATTGATGATAAATAGGAAAATATTATCTAAAACTGTAATACTATATAAATCATGCTATTGAAATTAATAAACAGATAAATGTTTTTTTACCAGCTTTTCACTATCTTTTGCTATCAGCTTTATATTTTCTAGCCTAAGTTGATACTAGATTTCTTTAACTTACTTTCTTCTTTTTGCTTCTTTTCTCATTTCTATATTTGATTAGCACTTCCTTTAATTTTTGCTTTTATTATCATTAGTTTCTTCTCACTGGTTTTGACAACTTTTTATTTATGCAAATAATTTTTTGTTTCATTCATCATTATAAAATAACTTTTTTTGTTGTTTTAAAACACAAAAGATTATTTTTATTTAGTCATAAAAGTTCTTAATGCCTTTAAATTACAAAATTGAATTTTATAAAAATAAAAACAAAATTAAGTTTTCTAATAAATTTTGAAATCATGTGATTTTCAAGAGTTTTTTTACAGCCAAATGACTTTTTTGGCATTAGTTCATTTTAAGACCAGAAATGATTATTTCTATTTTGAAATTGACACTAGGAATTCCATACAAGGTTTACTCTTTTCTTCTATTCTGACTTCTTACTTACCCTTCTTACTAACTTACTCTTAGATAGTTTTATATGAAAGTTTTCTTTCTTCTAGGTGTGATGCCTCCACCAGTGATAACAAGTCTCATCTGTAAGGAGTCTAATTAGAAGTTTATGAAGTAAGAAAAAAAATAATATATTAAGAAATAGTCTAAGAAATAAAGTAAGGCCCTTGCAGTCTTCATTTTTAGAGCATTGTATATAGTACTGTACAGCTGTTTAAGTTTCCAAGAGAGGTCTGATTATATTTCCATTCATAGAAGTTTTTGTTTTTATTTTTGTTATCTTTAATTTTTGTTGTTGTTTTTGTTATTATTGTTATGACTAGCTTTTGTTGTTATTATTGTTATTTTATTTTTGTTAGTAATACAGTAAACTCTCAGTCACTCAAACCTCCAAGGCACAAAGAAAATAAATTTAGTGAATGTTTGAGTTTGATTTTTATGACAATTTGATTTCAATGGGAATTCGAAAGCACTTTGAGTTACTTGAAAGTTCCAGTTAATGAGGGGGTTTATAGGGAGTTTATTGTATTATTATTGTTTTTGCTGCAGTCGTTATAAGTAAATTTTTTTTTAGGTTATGATAACTTAAAAAATACTGTTCAACCAAGGTTAAATTTACCTAATGATCGTGTCTCTGCTATTCAGGTAGTTTTGATACAGATTATGCACATTCAAAACAAAATTATTAAATATTTTCAGAGAATCCTATTTATTTTACTTATTCTTCTGTAAAAAAAATAACTATTGCTATTACGCTGTGGTTGAATATAGGGTTAGTTATCTTGTATAAATATTTTTAGCTATCTGACTTTACAGAGCTTCGTGCTCCAAATGCACAGCGAGCTGCTTATTACTTTGATGCTGCCCTTGCCTCACGATCTAAGCCTAAGATTTCTATTGGCGATAACCCAGACCTTTTTATCAATGACATTGAGGAAAATAAAAATCCAAATCTAATATTTACCTTGCATGTGTATCAATATACTGTTGATAAAGTTGGAACTGGAGAAAGTAAGAGGCAATGATTTTTTTATTACTTTTTTTTTTTTAATATAATTATGTAATTTAAACATTTTTATTAGATAAATTTTGTCTCAATTTTTTTTTTACATAATATTTTTTACTTTATCTTTTTTAGTTCACGGCGGAAGGTCGCATCTGCATTTTATTGACTTGTCTGGTTGTAGTAGAAACAGCCGTAGTCGAGATACAGGTCAAGGTTCTTGGTTAACACTATCAGCACTTAGCAATGTAGTTACATCACTTGCAAATGGTGCAAAGCATATTCCTCATAGAAATAGTAAGTTAACAATACTTCTTAGGGAAGCCATGGGTTCTATTTCAACAAGAATTACAATTATAAGCCATGTTTCTGAGGATAAAAAAAAATATTCAGAAACATTATCTACATTACAAGTAACTTCCCGTATTCATCGAACTCGTAATAAGAAAAGCAAGGTAACTAGCATATGTTCTTTGATATTTCATTTGGAAATTGTATATTTTTGTGTCTATAAAATAAAATTTTAAAATAGTACTCAAGCTCATCTGGTGGAGATAGTTCTTGTGAAGAAAGAAAAAAGTATCACAGACGATTTAAACCAGTAACCCCTTTACTGATAACTGAAGCCTGCCAATCTGATACCATAGGAGAGTCAGAATTTACTTCAACAAGTGCTGCAGATGAATCATGTGACACTGTAATTTACTTAGGGCCTTCAGGAGGATGTGTTAGTGATGGGGAGCTTACAGATCTTGAACATCCCCCTATTGAAAAGGAAAATTTAAAAAAAGGTAAAGGAACAGATAATAAAAACTTAAACAAATTAAAACCATTTTACAGAAACAATCGATTTTATAAATCTGCTCCTTTGAAGTCATCTACAAATTTAAAAAATAGTTTTTCTGAAAAACCAATAATAGTAAATGTCGACCTACTTAGTTCTCAATGTTCAACAACAAAAGAAGAAAGTTCACAAAACTTACCCATAAAAAAATCTAACAAAAACCAACAGCAAAAAAAATTATCGTCTGATGCAAAAGCTCTTGATGATTCTTTACTTTCTTGTTCAAAGTTTTTACAAACAGACAATGTTGAAAAATTCAGTTTAGCAAATAGAAACTGTCTTAGTGAAAATAACTCTCCCATGAAAATAGCTCCAGTTAATAACACTGAAACAATTACATCTATAACTTTAAATAATAAATTTATCCCTCACTCTAGTACAGCCACTTTAGAAAACTTTGAAAGACAATTGGTTACAAAGATAGCAGAGAGGATCGCTCTTGAAAAAGAGTTTGACTCCACAAACGACCATGATTACAAAATCGAAGTGGACGAAAATAATGAGAGTCATACATTTTTTATTGACGACGGTCTAGAAAGTATTGGGACGAGACTAAATACAAGTTCATGTTACAGTGACCTGAATTATGATGAAGATTTTGCACAGTCTGATAGAATATTTGAGAAATGTCATAAACGCAATGAGTGCGATAATTGGGATACTATTGTACAATATAATAGTGAAAATGATACTGACGAACAAACTAACATGAAATTAAGGTATTAGTAATAATTATTTTTACATTAAACAGAGTTATTTACTTTTTAACATCTTTATTTAATGTAATATAAATGAGGAATTTGTTTAGTGACATTAATTTTTCAATATTATTGTTCAATATTATAAAAAAGTATTAAAAAATTTAAAAAAGTTGTTTTTATTTTTCAATATTTATACAAAATTTCAGATAAAAATCTGCTTTACAAACATATCAAACAGCAAAAATATCTTATCTTTAGATCACATGGTTTTTGCTTTAACATGAATGTTAATAAAGATTTTTCAAATAGAGTTCCATCAAAAGGTTTGTAAAAACTTTCTTTAAAACTAAAAGCTGTTACATTTTTTTATACACCTTAAGTTTTTTAATATACCTCAAGCCTATTTATACACCTCAAGCTTTTATATACACCTCAAACCTTTTACTGATTCTTGGTCAAGTCTTTAAACCTTTTTTTTTGAAACTATTTTCAACAATAAAAAATTATTTTTATTATTAGAGCAATAACGAAAATAAAAAGTCTTTGACAAATCTATGCCTCCTGGATAACTTTCTAATGCTTAATTATGAGAAAACGATTTTTTGAAAAAATAAAAAACATGATTATTTTCTAAAATGCCAGTTTTACTAGAAGTTGCTAAAATTAGTGACTTTATTGAAAGTTATATTGTTAGTTATGTTTAGAAAGATTAAGTCTTGAATTTGTTGTTAGTTATATTTAGAAAGATTAGGTCTTGAGTTTGTTGTTAGTTATATTTAGAAAGATAAGGTCTTGAATTTGTTGTTAGTTATATTTAGAAAGATAAGGTTTTGAAGTTGTTGTTAGTTATATGTAGAAAGGTTAGGTCTTGAGTTTGTTGATAGTTATATTTAGAAAGATTAAGTCTTGAATTTGTAGTTAGTTATATTTAGAAAGATTAGGTCTTGAATTTGTAGTTAGTTATATTTAGAAAGATTAGGTCTTGAATTTGTAGTTGTATTTAAAAAGATTAGGTTTTGAATTTGTAGGTCTTGTAGTTACAACACTAACATTCTAGGTATAACACTAACATTCAAGTCTATAGTAAAAATGAATCTTTTTTCATCTTTTATCTTCAAGTTTTTTAAATAGTTGAGATACATTGTTTTATTAGGTCATTTATGCGAAGGATTAAGCAGTGGTTACGAAAGTATGAGATGTGAAAGCTATGTGAACATTCACGACAATAAAGAAACTTATTATAACAAGAGTGAAAGAAAACAAGGTAGGTGCTTAAAAGTTTTTTTTTTTCAAATAAAAACATGCTAAAAGATATACAGTAAGAAAGTGTTTCATTATTTATTTTATTTAGAAGTAAATCCGGTGAAGTGCTGCGAACAAGTTCAAATGCTCTTGAAGGAAAGGGATAAACTTAATAAGGAATTGCAATTAACTTTAAACAAACTTGTTAAGATTGATATTTCGGTTGACGGCAAAGTTGACGGTATTATATTATCTATTTAACGGTTTTCTTTTTCATTAAAGATTTTTATTAGAGAAATAAAAAATTTTATAAAAAAAATAAGTTACTCCCACTTATTTTAAAATGTTTATTTCTTTTGAAGAATACATGCAAGATTATAAAGCTAGTGAAGCAGCTGATATTTTAACTAAAGAAAATCGAATTTTGGAAAAAAAAGTTTTATTGTGCAAATCTCACCTTCTCTTAGTCTCGTCATGTGATCTAACAAACAAGCCAAAAAAACATTTCATTAAAAGCCCATTTAAAAAAATAACAAAAAAGATCCGGTCGAAATTAAAGATAAATTAGTCACCAAAATAAAGATTTTCATAATCGCTCTAACAACAGCTAAATTACTCAAATTTTAAAAATGTGGATTTTTTTGAAAGTCGACTTTTTTGGTTGAGAGTCGTGTTGGCTTCGATATGTAAACTAATTATTTTGAATCAAATTAATACTTTTATAAACTTTTAAATATGAAGTATATTTGTAAATCTTTTTCTATGATTTTGGTAAATTTTTTTATCAAGAAAAAAATAATATATTTATGTTTTGGTTTATAATGTAAAAAACATGTTTCATACTAAGTACTGAGAAATGTAGTTGTTAACTTGAATTTTTAAGCCGTGCTTCTTTTTGGGTGAGGATGTACAGAAACAATTGATTTTATGAATCTGCTCCTTTAAAGTCGTTTACGAATTTAGTTATTCGGAAAAACCAATAATAGTAAATAAGGTAATATAAAAATAATATAATAACTTATTATAAAATTTATTCTACTATTATTGTTTTTTATAAAAAAAAAATAGTTGAAAAACTTCTGTACTCTTTTTTAACATTAAAATATCTTAATAAAAATTAAACTCTCGTGTAGTTCATCTGGAAAAATATTTTTAACCTTGGGTTGAAAATTGTTTTAACCTAGGGTTAAAACTGAAAAATTGTTAAAACCTTGGGTTTTTTTTTTTTTTTTTTTTTCAGGGCGGGGGAAAGGGGTTAGTAACAGTTAAGGTATTGAAGCAATAATTGCAAAGTTTTTCAAAATCATACAAATCGAATGCTCTATAAAAATTGAATATTCTCTCGGGGTACTAATTGGCATGTACACACTAAAAAAAAAAGGTAGAAACTTTTATCTTAGGTTAGGATATGTGATATATATATATATATATATATATATATATATATATATATATATATATATATATATATATATATATATATATATATATATATGTGTGTGTGTGTGGCCGTGGCGCAGTGGTTAGAGCGCTTGCTTTATAAGCAGGAGATCCAGGTTCAAAACGAGTTCTGGACATTTTCGCTTCACGGTGAGGAAAGAGGCGTGAACTTCCTGGTTAAATAAACATCCGCGGTGCCCTGTGACAAGATCGTTAGGTCTTCTTGAGGTACCTAAATAACAAAAACAAAAAATACTCTCAGGTATTAATTTATATCTTTCAAAGTAGAAAATTATTAAAAATAATCTGTCAAACAATTTTCTACCTTAAAGGTATAATTTTCTACCATAGAAGGTAGAAAACTATACCTTACCAAAGCTATATCACATATCCTACCCGAAGATATCTTTTATATTTAGTGTGTAGGGTTTGGAGCACTTTTATTTAAACTTTGAAATATGTTTTTGATAATATTATAGTTGGGTGTCTAGATATTTTAAATTAAAATTTAAATTGTGTTTTATATAAATTTGTTTTATATGGTTTATATGAAACTATTTTTATTTTTTAGAGGTTTTGAGTTAAAGTTATTTTCCTATTTTCGGACCCTTTTCAAACAGTTTTAAAACGTTCAAAGAATGAAGGGGTAAACGTTCAAAAAATGAGGTTCTAAACTATATAGGGACTTTTTTGCAGCTAAAAATAGTTTTTTAATACTTAGCAGCCGTAGCGTAGTGGTTAGCGCGTTTGCCTCGCAAACTAGAGATCCATGGTTCAACGCTACCTCTAGCCAACTTTAATAACATTGATAAGGAAGGCGGTGTGAACGTCCTTTCAAATGCTCTTCCGCTATGCTCTGTGATAAGATTGCAAGGACTCTTTTACGGTAAACTTTTATCAGGGTCACTAACCTATTTTCTCCCGACAAAAAATTAATACTAAAACAAATAAACCAAAAAAATGTTTTTCGATTTATTCATTTTAGCATTAATTTTCAAAAAAAGGTTTGAAAAGGCATTTAAATGCCTTTTCAAGCTTTTTTACCAAAAATCTTTCTTTCTAAAAAGTTATTAACCCCAACATTGAAGAAAAACAAAATATTAGAGGAAAAAAAAGGTACAACCCCGCCCCTTGCCCAGTAAATAAATTTAACATGCATGTTTATCGGGACTCCACAAATGCTGTCAAAATAAAGTAAAATCAAAGTGAAGTCTGAAAGATAAAGTAAAATAATAAAAAAAAAAATAGAGTTCTCCTGCTGGCTGTGAAAATAATTTTAAGATGTACGTTTGTTAAATTTTTTTTTTTTTTTTTTTTTAAATTTTGCTTACATTAAAATGTCAAAGTACAATTATATATACCATATATATCGTGTTACAATTAAATTCGTGTTACAACATTTATCAACTAAATTAAAATAAGAAAAAACAATATGAAGACTCCACGGGAAGAAACGGCAAGGTCACATTTTTTCATTTTGCGATAAATCATTTTTAAACTTTTAAACCTATATAACTTTTTTATTTTTAGGGGAAGGATTAAAATTTTTAAGATATATTACAAAAGGAACTAATTTTTTATGCAATTAAAGTTGTATTTATAATTTAAATATAATAATTTACGTTATAGGTTTTCTTTTTTAAGTGAGGTTTTTTATGGACTATGCCGTTTTTTCCCCGGTAAAAGATCTTTTTTATTTTATTAGTTTTTCGATCAATTAAAAACATAAAATTAATTTTTTTTTTATTAGCTTATAAATAAAATTAGGCAGAAGCTAATTTTACCAAACAACCTCACAACCAAGACCTAATATTGACCCTTAAAAAGTCTAGGGGATCGAATTAAAATTAAAAATACTGATTAGTGTTGATATTTTCGTTTAGAAAATAATTATAGTTCTCGTTAACCAAAGGCTTCAATTTTTGTTCTTATGTCGTGCATGAAAATATCACATACAGTCAACTCTCGATATCTTGAATACTTGGTATCTCGAACTTTTTTGAATCCAGTCGAACCCTTATTTATAGATTTTACTCTCGAAACTCGAACATTCTCTATCTTGAACTAATTAATCGGTCCTTTGGAGGTTCTCGTTAACGAAGGGCTTTAATTTTTATTATGAATCTTTCATTAAAAAATATCACTGTTGATGACAAAGTTCAATTTGTTTTTAATTTAAAGGTTAACCTATTAAATACCTATATAACTATACCTATACAGGTGTCACAAAACTGTAAGCACAAAAAGTTATTTAATGCAAAGTTTCTTTCCTGATAATAAAGGGGCTTTACAATTTTATAGGTTTAAAAACAATTTAGTATTTATTTGATCTGAATTTTTATTTTCATACCCTGACTAAATTAAAAGATATATTCAATATCTTGTGATTATTAATTATATAAATTGTTGTATATGAAGTAAAGCAAAGAAGAAACATATTAAAGATTATGAATTTGTCAAGAAACACTAAGAAAAAAACAATTAAAAACAAAATTTAAATAAAAAAAGAAGTCTATTTGCTCTTCATCTTCAGAATCAATATTTTCATAAAATGTCTCGATAACCTCCTGATTGTCTGGCAAAGAATCGTAAACCTGAGCATTGGATGCAAACCTTTTAATACTTGTAAATCTCTGTACTTTGCCAAAAAGATGCAAAGTTTTGCATTATACAGAATGGGGATTTCACTATTTATAGTGTTCTTCCTATTATTTTTTAAATTAGTTTTCAACAATAATCCATTCCACGAAACACGATGAAATACAATGCCACTTGAGTCTCCTCTGAAACAAAATTCACAAAGAGGACAAGTTGGAATTGAACATTTATTCTTATAAAATGGTCTCATAAAATCAGTTACACTTTTAACCATACTTTGCGTTAATTCTATAACATGAAACAGAGTGGGTTTTTTATGAGCATTTTTGAATGTTTTAATCCAATCTGATGCATCACTAGTGGGTGTTTTGCAACTAATTAATCCCATATCTTTATCACATTCCATAACAGAATGACCACGTTCTGGAGATGTAACTTTAATAAAGTCAAACCTTTTTTTTTTATGAACAAGAAAATCCATAAAACAAATTAATGTATAGTTTTTGTTTTAGCCAGCACATGAATCACAAAATAGCTCTACAGATCAAATTTCTTTGTCTAAATGTTTAATAAAAAAATCATCGAAGTTACTTCATCAGCCCCTTTTTAGCTATAGTTTCATCATAAAAATACAAATAAACTTCATTGCTTGAAAGCACGTGAATATTAAATGAATAAAATGCTAATTTTTGTTTGTAGTAAAAGTCGTTGGTTGATTGATTTGGTAAGTTAAGATTTTTTTTTGAAATCAAAAGCAATTACCTCAAATTTGTACTCCCTTTGTGCTTTAAACCAAGCATTTCTTTTCCTAACATAAAATATTTCTGTATCTTTGTGGCGCTGTTCTTTCTGTAACTCAAGCTCATGCAATTGTTGTTCAGGCTTTGTAAATTCCGAATTAAAAGATAGTTCAATTTTTATTGCATCAAATTTAATTTTAAACTCATCGCATTTAGAACGTTTTAGTCCTAGGGTACCCAAAAGAAATGTTAAAACTTTTGTTAAATATGTTGCGATAAGATTCATATGACAATTTATCATTTCCATACTTAATTTTAAGCAAGTCATTCATCTTGGTTATAATTAATAGATCTTGGTATCTACCTTTGAAAGAAGAAATATGATCACATATTTTATTTTTTAGTTAAGGAGTAAAATTGTTATACTGATTCTTGTGTTTACCTCTTCTATCATGGGGAGAGTGACCTATAATGAGAAAAAATAATTTTTATATATAAGAAAACTTCCATTAAAAATAAGCATTCTATATTCAATAAAAATATATAAATTACCTTTAGTTAAAAGGCTTCTTTTAATGGTCTCTAATCTTCCATTCTTTATGCCAAAGATTGAAATAAACGCAGAAAAGCAAACATAAATAAACGAACTCGTGAGTATCTCGTGATTTGTAAATAAAAATTTATATTTGTAACTGCTATTATAATCTTTTAAATTAATGTTTCGTGGTCTTCTTTTTGAAACGTTATTTAATGTTATTAAACTTGCAAGATACGAATCTTGAGCATCCTTGCTGGATAGAGAGTTAAAATATCTTATTAACATTTTTTTTTTCTTCTTCTATAAGCATTTAAGTTACATTCAAGCCCTGTTTTATGCGATGCTAATCTTTGTTTCTTTATACTTAGATTTTTTTAGCATTTTTATTGGTATTTCAAGTGTCGCCATTTTTATTATTTAATTTACATTAACCAAATTATTTTGAATATTTTGAAAAATAAAGACTTATAGCCGTAAGTATGAGTCATGATAATTCAAAAAATAAAAATGGTAAACTTGGTTTATGTCTATTAGTAAGTTGCAAATATTATTT